CTGCTGGGGTGCTCCTCCTTGAATAAAAGCAGACAGGGCGCCATTTCTTGTCCTCGCATCGCTGAGAGAGCTCCCCTCCAATAGTATAGCCGGACGAGTCTGGTTGTACGCGGGTTTCCCTTTCGGGGTCGAATTTTGTCAAAACAGGGGCACAAACTAGCAGTTCCTTCAGTGTCTCGAATGCCTGCTGGCACTCGCTCGTCCAATTGAATATCACGTCCTTTTTTGTCAGATGAGTGAGAGGCATGGCAACCGTTGAGAAGTGAGGAATGAAGTCTCTGTAGTAGTTGGCAAACCCAATGAATCCTCGAACTCCTCGAACTGTGGTAGGGGGTTCCCATTCTCGAATTGCTTCAACTTTGCCGGGGTCGACACTGAGCCCAGAGTTCACATCAACAATATAACCTAGGTATTTAACTCTTATCTGTTCGAATTCGCATTTGTCGATATCGACCTAGAGTCCTACGGCGTTAAGTCTTTTCATAACCTGCATCACCTTGTCTCTATAGTCGTCGAGGGTGCCGTCTGTAAAAATCAGGACATCGTCGATATAGGCAGAGACGAAGTCATCCAACCACTCCCTCAGAACATGGTTAATATATCGTTGGAATGTTGCAGGCGCACCGGTGAGGCCAAAAGGAGTGACCATCCATTCAAACAGTCCATATCTTGTGCAGAATGCTGTCTTCCATTCATCTCCCTCCTTGATCCTGATCTTCCAGAAGGCGGAAGAGACGTCTAGCTTCGTGAACCATCTCGCCTTGGCCAGCTGGCGAAGGGTCTCCGAAATCAGGGGTAATGGGTAGCGGTCTTTTCGTGTGATCTCGTTGAGTTTCCGGTAGTCAACGCAGAACCTTAACCCTCCCCCAGGCTTCTTGAAAAAAAGCACGGGTGCCGCTGCCGGAGAATTGCTGACTCGAATGAACCCTTTGTCTAGGAGGTTGGTGAGGGTCTTACGTAGGACCAGTAGCTCCTCTTTTGACATGCTGTATAAGGGCCCCCATGGAACTTCTTTCTCGCGTCCTTGTTCGTCCTTTTCCAGTTCGATGGCATGATCAACTCCCGGTCGGTGTGGTGGTAGTCTGTCGCCAACTTCCTTCTTAAAAAGATCAATGATTTAGTGGTAACATTCCGGGAGTTTGGTCGCAGGGTCTTCGGGTTTCTTCTGGAATTTAGCAAGGGCCTTCTCGATGTCCTTCATGCTGACGGCGAATATTTGTACTGGTTGTTTGTTCCTTTGACCAGTTCGATGATGGAGGTAAGGGAGTTGGCCGATACTTCCCAGTTGGTACGGTCAGGGTCCCAACTTCTTGAATCGCGTATTCGAACACTCGTGCCACTCGTTCCGATGCGAAATTCGTTTCTTGCAGGTCTCAGGGTAACATCTTGTGACCTGGCCCATGGCAAGCCGAGGATAACTTCGTCCAGTTGTCTTGGTACCACATACGCAAACACTCGTCGCTGCTTGTGTCCGTCAATGTCGATGTCGAAGTAGGTAGCTTGAGTGATAGCATTTTCCTGCACGTCCGCTACCTGGGCCAGATTTCTGGGCACCATGTCGATGCTTGGGAGTCGTATCCTTTGAAACAGTTTCTGTGAAATCGTTGCATAGCAGTGACAGCCATCGTCGTATAGGGCTCTGGTATAATGTATCCCATTGGTTCCTATGTTGACATAGATGCCGTCTTGATCCATTTGTCCCTGCTTTTGAAAGTGTATCCACGCGGCCACGGCTCCCGCGTATCCCTAATCAGAGTCCTCCTCAGTCTGAGTGTCGACTTCTTCAACCACCGCCTCGGTCACTCGGAGTCGTGGCTCGACTCGTGAGACGTTAGATCGTTTCCGAACTTCGGGGGGTATTGCTGCTGCCAAGGGGCAACGCTCAACGCGGCAGTTGTCTCTCCCACACCGCAAGCATCTTCGTTCATTCCTTCGGGCTCGCATCTCGGAATCGTCGACCCATTTGGCACGTTTGCCGAGTAGGGGTTGGTCTTCCGGCCGTTTTGATGGGAAGCCGTAGATGTTTTTTCTTAGCCGTGTGGAAGCAACCTGGACCTGGTCCGGCGGGGTTGGTTCCCACTCCATCATGTCTTCCCTCCGTGTCTCCTTGCTTTTTGTTGGGTTGCGACGGTCTTGACTTCCATCCTCTGGAGCTTTCTTGTTGTTCTTCCACTGTCCGAAGAGCTCCATTTGGTTGCGAAAGAGAAATAACTTTTAAACTCTGCATCGGAACTTCCCACCAGGTTGGACTTCAATTTCGGATTGAGCGCGTTCCGAAGGTACGAAATTTTGGAGTCGTCATTCCAAGACTCCGCTTCTGCGTTTGCGATTTCTTTGCGGTTGCGCTCACCGTACAATATGTCCAGCCGGTCGATTAAGGCCTGGGGGTTCGGTTAATGCTTCTTCAGTTCCAGCTCATGGAAGGTGGTGACGTTCGTCTTCGCCACCCCCCCTAGCCGGGAGCAAATGTACCGTAGTTGCGACTTGGTGTTGCCGATAGCCTCAGCGTCGTCCTCGATCTTGCCCTCCATTTCCAGTTTCCAGCCGCGCCATTCTGACTTGACTCCGATAAACATCGGTGGGTGGGGAAGACTGTGTCGCGGCTTGTTTGCTGGGGAGTTAGCGTTGTTCACTTGTGGCTTATCCTGGTTGTCCATGGTTGGTTGGTCTCCTGATTGATCTCCGGTTTGGTCTGCTGGTGGATGGTCTGCTGGTTGTTCTGCTGGTTGTTCTGCTGGTTGTTCTGCTGGTTGTTCTGCTGGTTGTTCTGTTGGTTGTTCTGCTGGTTGTTCTCCTGATTTGGAAAACAAGTCATCAAATTTGATAGATGGATAGTAATGTAAGGGTCAAGGGTAATGTCGATGCAATTAGCCTAGCCTGCTCTACGAGTACTATGCATCTATGAAGAGAAAAACATTAGATACATTCAGTGTGGTGAACCCTTCTCCCTTTTATCCTTCTGTCCTCCCGTCTCGTCATTTCAGGAATCTTCGAGAAGTGAAGCTATTCGGAGATTTCTGTAGGTCCAAGTGCTGTTGAGAATCTTCTGTGGGTCTTTCTGGCCGAAGGCGTCGCAGAGGCCACATACCGGTCATAGACCGTGACAAAAGGGAAGGAGAGGCGAAGCGAAAGAAGGAGAGAGGGGAAGGGGACGAAGGAGAGGAGAGGGGTAGCGCTAGGTCGGTACGTACGTACGTATATACATAGTATATAGGGAGGGAGGGAAATACGGGACTCTTTAGAGTCGGGCGCTCCTAAACCCGGGTTTACTTACCGGGGATCGCTACGATACGTGAAATCGGTAGATAATATCTATTCTATTATATCGCTAGAGACGTAGAGACGTAGAGACGTAGACAGAGGGTGAGAGGGAGTGATGCGAGTGCATATGGGGTGTGAATTGTTGTATTGGGAAACGATGGCCAGGTCAGCTATTCTGGCCTGGCAGAGCTCTTTTATAGCTCTTATCTATCTTATCTCTAGCTATAGGGCAACCCCCCATGGGGTCACGTATCAAAATGCCGGGCTACACGGAAAATGGTACTGTCCTCAGTACGTTTGGTGCAGGGGTACTTTCCAGGGTGTAGAGCTGCTAAGTTGGCCAAATCGCTGTATTCGGAGGAGACTGCTCAAGCCAAGTTCTGTATGACGGGGTCTCCGAAGGCTTTGTGTCGATAGCTAGGCCAAAGTACTGTTGCATCATGTTGCCAGCTGCTGTATATCTGACCTTGACGGGGCTACGGATGCCGATACCTTTGACTGTGTTCGGGGCAGTGCTCTTGACGATGTGTTCGCTCTGGTGCGTTTAGTATGGGGAATCGTATGATCGGAAGGCGACGGCGATGGACTCGACTCGATAAAAGGAAACAAAGTCAGAGAGATCTTAACGGCCGGCGGCTGTGGGCGCTTGATGTTGTGGATCGACTCCGGGACGGTTATTCTGGTAGAGACTGGCCTAGTGAAAGGGTCCCTTGATGATTCTGGTGATCTTGATAGATCTAGTGCTGGACTGGCCTAGTGGAAGGGTCCCTCGATAGACTGTGATAGTGATCGCTTCGTAATATCTGCGATCGTAATGCTTAGGCGCTGGTATAAGACTGGCCTAATGAATGGGTCCTCTTAATAAAGGTGTGCGCGATAGGTGCGTGACGCGATGGTGATCTTGATAGATCTGGGGCTGGTTTTGGTGCATGCGAAACGCTGGCGGCGATAGGATCGTAGCCGTGATGGTGATCTTGATCGATCGATGGATGGTTGGTTTGGTTTGGTGGATTTACTCAATCTTGAGGAGATGCTACCATTTGCTGTGAGTGCACATGGGGTGTGAATTGTTGTATTGGGAAAGGATGGCCAGGTCAGCTATTCTAGCCTCGCAGAGCTCTTTTGTAGCTCTTATCTATCTTATCTCTAGCTATAGGGCAACCCCCCATGTGGTCACGTATTAGGGAGAGAGGGAGAGATGGAGAAAAAAAGAAAAAAAGAAAGAAAGAAAGAAAGAAGGAAAGAGAGAGGGCGAGAAAGAGAAACAAAGATAGAGAGAAAGTAAGAGAGCGAAAGCAATAAGAGAGCACGGGCCCCGTATAACCCTAACCCTGGTAACCCTAGGGTAAAAACGCCGATAGGGGGGTGCACGACGAATAAGCCGACAACGCCGTTCGATTCGGCGGGCCGTACTTTGGGGGGGTAGAGCCTATGTACAGACGTTTTCACGTCGATATAAGGTCGAATCGATTGCCCCGTCGATTTCTCAATCGATTCGACCCGAAGCGGTCCGAGCGCCCAGCGGGGCCGACCAATCAGGAGGCGCGCCTTAATCGATTCGACTCGAATCGATTGTCCCATAGCAGTAAGGTACGTCAGAGTGAAGGTGGTTTAAGGGAGAGAGAGGTTCCTAGGGTTCGTGGAAGTTGCTGGGGTCGTGCGTGACTGCCTAAGGACTCGTGTAGACTTCTGTCTGTTAACTGTTCAACAGCCGATCTTCTCTTAAATCCTCGAAGAACTTAATGGCATACTCCCTTTGGGACCCAATAGCTATCAATATGGCATCCAGGCGATACACGCCGGAATACCTGTGACCCAGGCGGGTGAATGCGTAGGGCCTCATTGACGACGGCCTGTAGATACAGCAGCTGCATTACAGATGCAGCATCAATCTCACCATAAGATTTATACCGGGCCAGAATTTCGGTCGTAAGCTTCTCAAGCGTAGCAGGAGTCTTGAGAAGATGGTACATCGCAGCTGTCAGGCACGTCGCAGTCGTCTCACCGCCTGCTAGGCTTTTCGTCGCTATGTTAACTCATAGTACCGCAATAGGACACTTATACTTACACTAGCGTAGATGCGTGTGCCGTCATCTCTTCCTGTTCCACTTCACCGGCTAAGACTTTGTTCGCTATGTGAGTGAAGAAGTCCTTTCGGGGCATCTCGGCGTCGAGACGCTTCTGTACTTTTGCCCGGCTGAACATTCAGTGTTTCTCCCTCACTGCCGAGGTGAGCGATGGTAGAAGTCATCGCCCGAGAAATTCCAGAATTCGCACCCTTGGTCGGTTGTCTGCCAGCGTGACTTCGAAGAGGTGTTTAAAGATTAGATCTATCCAAGGATGGAGTTTATCTGTCAAGTCACAATTATGTTAGCAAAGATTCTGAAATCTTCACGGGACTAATATGGCAGAACACAGAAGTATTGCTTTATCTTTCTCGACACATTCAAACCCTTCTCCAAAAGCCATTTCTCGTAAAACATCAAAGGTGATCATTTCCAACCACTGGACAGCATTGATGCATTTTCCTTCGCTCTCCTGACTCAGGCGCCAGAGTTTGTTAACGAAACGATGTAGGCATGCCTGCACGACAGGTTCCTACTCGGCCAGCGCTTTCGAAGAGAAGGCCTCAGTCAAGTTCCTCTTCTTCCGCAAGTGGACGGCGGGATCACGCTCAGACACAATAATACAACCCGTTTTGTAGGCACCACCGAAAATGTCATAGAACTCGCTTTTGATTAGCTGTTCTCCTCCAGGTGATGGAAACCCATAAATTGCTTTCCATGACTCCTTTTGGATCTTCAAGGTTACTAAATCAAGACTGTCAGTCTTGGAAGGACATATGGCTACGCACCGTACGTTATGGGCCAATATGACCACTACCTATCGAATTATACAAGTCCTGCCTGTGGGACAGGCATCAGTCATTCCTGTCTATATAAGGCCCTTAAGTCCGTCGTTCACTTCGTTTAGGACTCTCCAGAGATCATGACCTTTTTAATACAAGACCATTTGCCTATAATCCAACAACTCCATAGATGCTAACGAGAGCTCGTTGGGCGAAACGCGGAACACTGGACCTGATATATAGGATCGGCTTTTTGCTTTCAAATAGTGGCTACTGATATGTCTTCTAGTCTTGGGCCACTGCAAACCGTATTTTTCGTGAAACTTATGGCTAACGTGATGCGACTGCCCTCGCGTGGTATGCCAGAATTGTCAAAGCTGGCTATGCCGTGTTAGCGCTTATAATCTAGAAATCGAAAAGTGCATCAGGGAATATTCTGACGAGGGACGAACAGGTCCAGAACGGCCTGGAAACCTCGGCAAGGGTGCAAGCACAAATTGTACACCATGTGCAGACAGGCAGTGGTCATCACCAGGACAATCAGCTCTAACCATCCCACCTGTGCCACTAACTGTTTAAATTTTCTCAACCATTGCATTTCCATCACGTTGGAGATCTCTTGATCCAGGAGCAAAATTGTGATTATCCATCTTCAGGTTGCGCGATGACCAAGACTGCGGGCATGCGGAAATTGGAGTTGCCACAGGCGCTGTGATCGCGCAAAGTCATAAATTGAAGGAACTACAAAAAGTGTCGCCAAAGGAAAGAAAATAAAACGTGACCGCACGCTAATACTACGCTGACTGCCCTCTTATCTTAAGGCTAATACTCATTGGTCAGTTGTCATAATGATGTTCGAGCGTTACCTATAGCCGGAATCCCCGTTGGCAGGCAACCGCATTCGGTAATCGCCGGGACCGAGACGAGAGGGGGTTTCTCGGACCCGGCACGGCAATCATAACGGTTCGGGATCGTGTGTTCTTTGGCCTATCCATGTTTCCCACTTGTCCGGCGTTCTTCCATGAGCCCCATCACGCATATCTGAAATAAACGAGGTTATGAAAATGATTTCAACACAATATCTCGACTATCGGTATATAGATAGACCTTGAAGATAACGTAAGCTTGTTATGCGGGTATTTTCCTGCTTTACAGCCTAATATTCAGCCTCTGTCGTAGACGCAATTTGCTGTGGAAATCAGTCAAGTACCGCAGGTTTCGAATTGAATAAAGGGTTTTCTAGTATCCTGTTCTAATAATGCAGTTCAGTCTGCTCTAAATTATACCCAGCATTTAAAACTATTGCCCTGAAAGTTATCCACCACAAACCCTCGCTTTATATACCTATTTAATTGCATGATCCCAAAAATATCATCATTCCTGAATGTATTGTTACCAAATCTCAAGAGGATTAAGCATTATTCTTGTCCCTAAAACAGAAGCGGCCAATGCACATAGGCTTCCTGGTTGTAGTGGGTCTTGTTCTGGTTGTGGAACTAGTAGTCGAGGTAGGCTTTCGAGTAGTGGTGGACTTTGGGCTATTCGTAACCTTGGTCGTACTGGTTGCTCTAGTGGTGGTGGTTGACTTTGGAGTGCTTGTTGTTAGCGTCGAAGTGGAAGTTGAACGGCTGGTAGATTTTGTGGTAGAGGCCGTGGTGATAGCAGGCGAAGAGGTAATCGACGAGGCAGTAGTCGCTGTAGCTGAAACTTCAGTCGTCGTGGAAATTGCAGAAGAACTGCCAAGGGTACTTGAACTATTGGGCGGACTAGGAACCGCCTCTTCGTCGCAAACAAACTCGATACCACCCAGCTGCCAGTCCTCCTCTCCATTGCTTTGTGTAGGTGAAGTCCATGTGGCCCAATTGAAACCCGTAATGGCATTCAAGTTCGTATTTGCACCAAGCCAACCACCCAAAGGGACTATGACCGTCTGTGCCTGGCCCGTCAGGTCTCGGACAACCTGCCAATCTGATTGGAACGCCGTCGCACTGCATGATGCTCGCGTCTGAATTTCGAGAGTGAAGTTTGACCCTGGTGCGGGGGCTTTCATAGTAAACTTAATTGCTTTATAGGCTTCCGTGACAGACTGCACGCAAGGCAAGTTCTCGTAGTAGTAAGAGGGAGACAGTCTGCCATCAGCCGGAGGAACCGGAGTTAGGATCAGTGAGGTTCCAGACACGCTGATGCTTGCCATGGAGCCGTCATCTGTGTGCATGTTAGCCACTGGACAAATAAATATTGTAGAGCTTATCTCCACCATCTGTGTAGCCACCCAAGCTGTTGACCGAGTTCGAGTATTGTGCGAAGTCATCAATCTTGAGGGTTGAGCAGTCGGCTGCTGCGATACGAGAGAGTGACAGGCATGCAACCAGGCCATACAATATTTGTCTGATCATCTTTCGCAATCCCGAGATTCCTTGTCCCGAACGAACGAACGGATGAGTGCCGGTGAGTTGTATTGGATATCCACGAGAGAATAAAAGAGTGACTGTAGTTGGCGATTGGATCTTCACGTAGCACTCAACCATTCATCCTGTTTGGAGTAGCAAACGATCATCTTTAGTAGGAATGAACTTTTGGCTTACGTGCTCTACCTTGATTATTCTCCTGAAGAAATCCGTATCATACGCACTTGGCAAAGGGAAACGCTAGGCCACTTGGAGTTGACGTCCGCCACCACAAATCTTGGCCCAATTTCTCTGTCCGTGAACAAACCCACTTGATCATGGCGCTCAGGCTCAAAGCCGGGCCGGGCTATTTCAGAGTTGGAAAGCATATACGGCACCTATACGACATCATAAAGGGGGCCACTAAAAATTGCGAAATAATATCGGCATCCACGTTTCATGAAATGTCTAGGGCGTAGCTCTCTTGAAACGACGCTTGCCAATGGCGGCGAACGCCACCGAGCTAACTTGTATGAAATCAATGCAGCATTTCGATCCAGCAATTCGATCCAGCGTAGAAGTGGAGATAACGGCTTGGCAGTAGCGTCCAAGTTAGTCATTCATTCATCACTTTGTATGCTCCTTCGACTTTCTTAGATTTCAACCTCAAATTTGGTATGAATCTTGCCATACTCTTTGCACACGACATCAACAAGTTTAGCGGACGAAATAAATACGCAACTGAGCTGTCTGCACAAATTCAGAGCGAGACTAATTTAGAATTACGTCGTTCACTCCTACTCACAATTATGCTGTCTTATGCTGCTCCTCAAGGAACACGTATCTATATTCATATTATTTGCCATTCAGTGTGATAACTTAGTTTGTATTGCTAGTTTCCGCAGAAATTAACAACTCAGAGTGGCTCGCGTATGGACTTAGAAATTGGATATTCACAGTTCAAAAACCCAAACACCTACGAGCCTCAGTTAATGCGTCATCTTGTCATATTCTGAATACTCATATATCAAAGAATTTGAGCTATCAAGAAAACAGGCAACGACTACTTCTCTTCTCGCTTGAAGATACTTACAAAGCTTAAAGCAAGCCAACTTCCAGCTACTTTAGCATATGGGTTTCATAACGAATCCAGGTATATGATTGTATTTGAACATGTATCAAGATTTGTTTTGAAATCAACTGACGTATAACTGCTGATGAAGGGGACTACTACCTACAGTAATTAGACGTCATATGCGACCTATGGTCCAAATTATTATAGCGTGATCATACAGGCTTTCCAACCGGCTATTTAATGAACCTACAAACTTTTTGAGGCCTTCAGGCCGATTGCAATGATTTAGCCCCACAAATATTACAGATTGATAGATTCAGGCAGAAATATGTATTTTATTTGATTTATTCGTTCGATCCTGTCTGCTCAATCGGGTAATATACGGGGCTTTGTTTCGTATGCCGTACGGTGGTACTTTCCCAGCTATTCCCTTGACAAAAAGGAACGTTATGTAGGAGTGAGCTGACTCACGGAGTCAACGAGTTTGGTAAGATGAGCCTGCTAGCCTTTCAACATATCCTGAACCACATGCATCAGCATCGGTGAGTGGAATGAACCATCATTCGTGAAGCAAATAAGATAATTCATGTTCTGACTTCTTTAACTTTTCATAGTCGTAGTCGGCGCATCAAAACTTGCGTTCGGGAATAGCTATAATAGCTGCCAACTAAGATAGAGTGGGGAAACAGTGGAACTATGCCATCGGAGATCATCGGAGATGGGAACCATCATGGCAGGCATATAAAGCTAGCTAATATCTGATGTGAAGGTCACTTTATTTCATTCACAAGTTGGCTTGTTCCACAATTTAAATTCGGTTGCTGCAAGATAACATGTCTCTCTCTAATGGCATTATCCGGTATGATAACGACGGTGTCGCCCGCTCCATCACCCGCCATGGAACTATCATCGACTTCCTCAAATTCAGCCCACAGCAGATTGAGGCCATGCTCCAGGAGTAACAGCAGTAAAGGACAGACGTATGTTGCGTGAATTGTATGGGGGGGGGGTTGAAGGCCGCCAAACCAGTTCAGCTCCTTAACACTTGAGGGCGCGAATGGCACAGGCTCAATGACTTCGAGGGGTGCCTAACAGAATTCCAGTCGCACACTGACTTCCCTGCCAACTCTTGTGATAAATGCATATTGTTTGAAGGGATGCCTCGCGCAACATGTATTACACCCTGAGCTAAATCCTAGCAATCTGTATGGGGCTAACATAGGGACCCTGTACTACAAATGGAGGAATAACATCGATGGCCACCGCAGACAATTTGTTAATTTATTGCATTGGCCCAGGCACACACCGCCTGGGCGCTAGTGTAGCGCTCGGCCATCTGTCTATAAATAGACCATCCATAACTACAGATTGCTAGGAGTTAGGCCCGTCACATCACCAATACAGCTCTCTTGCCTGTATTGCCCACACAATCGCATATGCCCCAAGTTTGTTTGCGGGGGAAGGTTTACGTCGGAACAAGTGATAGCTAGCTGTTTTGCAGATTTCCCTGATGGTCCTGGCTGGTTCATGTTCTGCACCCTTCTCAGCAATTACATGGAGTATTCAGGTGGTTACATGTTTCCCCGCTCATGGCATAAACGGCGCAAGGGATAAATATGATTTGCCTTCCTGCGATTGAGTCCGTGAACGAGTGAGGGCAAGTATTAAGAGCTATCGTGAGCGTCGTTGATTGCCCAAAGCCATAGGCAGGACTGGCTGGGAAAGAAGTGGAAGGCGAAGAGGATACTTCTACGAATGTGGCTGTGCTGGGGCTCGGTTAATATGAAGGAAAGTCATGTTGTAGTTTTACGTACTTTGTGTAACAATCCAATCATCAATCGGAGGCTGAGGTTGAATGGAGGATGCCGCGGTGATGGACAGACTGCAGCATTACATCATACATGCCAAGTTATTGACCGAGCATAAAATGCTCATCGCAACTGGTTATCTATCCATCTTACCTAGCCTGAATTGTGGGCCAGGTCTGGTTGTCACTCCCGAATAAGGCAGGTCCTTCTTCCCTGGTCCAATTGCAGAGGTGCAACTCTGAGATGCTGATGACCATGGCTTTGACAACCTTGGACACCAGCCCCTGAGACTTTCGCATATCCACTTCGTTGGAATTCCTTCATACCATTTAAATATCTCTATCGTCGACCAAAAGAGCCTTGAAGTACACAATGCCGTACCCTCTCCTTCGGTGGATGGCTTCTCCGCATCAATTCCAACAACTCCTCCTCTTGCCCCTCATTTTCTTTCTCCTACCCCTGTCATCGTCAACAGCAACCGCCAAAGCCGACTTGGATGTTCTCCAATTCGTCAACCCCCGCATTGGTAGTACGAACGGTGGCAATGTCTTCGCAGGAGCAACGCGCCCATATGCACTCGCCAAACCCGTCGCCGATGTCGATGGTCAGAATACCGGGGGCTTTGCGACGGACGGATCCAACATCACGGGCTTCTCGTCGGTGCATGACTCTGGCACCGGTGGTAATCCTAGCCTGGGCAACTTCCCTCTGTTCCCGCAACTCTGCCCTGGGAACGAGGTCAACGGCTGCAGTTTTCGCATCGGCGACCGAGCCACACGGTATGTTCCCGACACTGTTGTTGCGAGTCCAGGCCACTTTGGTGTTGAATTGGCATCGGGTATCAAGGTGGATATGACGAGCAGTGATCATGCGGCCTTGTATCTATTCAAATTTCCCACCTCGAATGAATCGTCGCTCGTGCTGCTCGATCTCACCGACCTGTGGCAAAGCCGACAGAACGGCACCGTCAGTGTTGATGCCTCCAGTGGTCAACTGGTTGGCAACGGCACCTTCTTGCCAAGTTTTGGGGCTGGATCCTATGTGATGCACTTTTGCGTCAGCTTCTTCGGCGGCGAAGTGCTCGACAATGGGGTGTGGGTCAACAATCGTGCAGGTACTGAGCCAAAAGAACTTTATGTCACCCGCGGCTTTAACCTTTTCTACCTCGAGGCTGGTGGGTGGGTGCGCTTTTCAAACCTGACCAATTCCACCCTGACGGCGCGCATGGGTATCTCTTTCATCAGCTCCGAACAAGCATGTGCTCGTGCCGAGGCGGAGATTCCTGACCCCATAGAGGATTTCGACCGCCTGGTAACCGAAGCCGGCGATGCGTGGCGCGACAAGCTGAGCGCAGTCTCTGTGAAGACCGGCGGAGCCAGCAAGGACCTTCAGATCAGCTTTTGGAGCGGCATCTATCGCACTATGATTTCTCCCCAGAATTACACGGGCGAGAATCCCATGTGGGACAGTGGAATCCCCTACTTCGACTCGTACTACTGCATCTGGGACTCTTTCCGGGTACAGCACCCACTTCTCACTATTGTTGACCCCATGGCTCAGGTGCAGATGATCAACAGTCTGCTGGACACGTACAAACACGAAGGGTGGCTGCCAGATTGTCATATGAGTCTGTGTAATGGCTGGACCCAAGGCGGTTCCAATGCAGACGTGGTCCTAGTTGATGCCTACGTCAAGAACTTGACGTCTAAAATTGATTGGAATCTGGCCTTAGAAGCTATCATCAAGGATGCCGAAGCTGAGCCTCTCGAGTGGTCATACCATGGTAGAGGCGGCTTGCAAAGTTGGAAGAGCCTGGATTACATTCCCTACCAGGACTATGATCCTCTTGGGTTCGGCACCAATTCGCGCAGCATCTCGCGCACTCTCGAATACTCATATAATGACTTCTGCCTCGCCACCCTGGCCCAAGGACTAGGACAGTCTGATCTCTACGGAAAGTACATCGAGCGAAGCACTAACTGGCAAAATCTCTGGAAAGAAGACCAGACTTCTATCATCAGAGGAAATGATTCGGGGTTTGCCGGGTTTTTCCAACCCAAGCACTTGAACGGCAGTTGGGGATATCAAAATCCCATTGCCTGTTCGGCTCTTGCTGACTTCTGCTCGCTGACCACGAACCCAAGTGAAACATTCGAAGCAAGCATCTGGCAATACCAGTTGTCAGTATTCTCTCCGCTATCCTAGTCTGAAACATTCATTAATAGATAGCAGCATCGTCCCACAACAAACAGCAAGCCTCATCAACCTCATGGGTGGTGACGAGGCTTTTATTTCTCGTCTAGACTTCTTCCACACCTCTGGCCTAGCCGACATCTCTAATGAGCCCGTCTTCTCCACCGTATACTTGTACCATTACGCTGGTCGTCCCGCCTTGTCCACTAAGCGGCTACACACATATATACCATCATCGTTCAATAACACGGATGGTGGTCTGCCAGGCAACGACGATTCTGGATCCATGGGCGCATTCGTAGTATTTGGCATGCTCGGATTGTTTCCAATTGCTGGACAGGACGTATACCTGATTAGCGCCCCTTTCTTTGAGGAGATCAGCGTAAAGAATAGCTTCTCGGGAAACACGGCTAAAGTCAGGACCGTCGGCTTTGACGCACAATACGAGAATATTTATATTCAAAATGTGACGGTTGATGGGAAGCCTTGGGCTAAGAACTGGATCAGCCATGAGTTTTTTACCCTTGGTCAAACCTTGGAGATTGTAGTCGGTGGTGAAGAATCGGAGTGGGGGACTAAGGTCGAAGATCGGCCACCTAGTTTCGGCGGGAAATAATAAAGCTAGAAGCGATAGGAAACCAAGGCAATACATAATCGCTCAGTTTATTCTATAGTATTAGTATTTCTATTTTTGTTTTAGTACTAAATTTGTCTCGAAAGGTATCCGGCCATAGTCTAGGTTAGAAATAAGGGGTTACGTAACTGCAGCTAAGATTATACGGCTAAGATTACCAGCTACATAGACTTAGCCGATGAGCCTTCTAGATATAATATAGCTCCAGTGCCTATCGATACATCTGCTCGGCCTCCTCGTAATTTCCAAGCATACTATTAATATTTCTAACATGAAATAGAAGATCTTACTTAGGCCCATCGTTTGTGAAGATAGACCAAGCCGTTACGACCAAGGAGCTCTTCATCTGGGCTACCGTGTATCCGGATAAGCTTTTATTCCTGTCTCCCATATGTGGCCTACTCAGCCTGTACACTGCATTCATCTACGTTATCATCTACCTCTTCTTCATCACCTTTACCTTCCTTTTCTCGTAGGTCTACTACTTCGGTGAGGGCATTGTCGGACTAAACTACATTGGTTCCGGTATCAGGATGATGGCCGGAATGTTCGTTTACGGAATGATCTCGGACATTATCAACCAACACCTCACCAAGAAGAACGTTGTCGAGCGACGAAAACAGGAATATCGTCTTCCTCTCACCATCTTCGGATCTCTTTCATCCCCGCCGACTTGTTCACCTACGGCTGGACAGCGCATTAACATGTTCATTGGGCGGTGCCACTGCTACGGACTCTTCTTGTCGGGTTCGGATTCACTATAGTCCTGTCGTCCATCGCCAAATACATGATCGACACCTTCACTATCTACGCCTCTTCTACCGTGTCCGCAATCACCGCCTCGCGTTCCATCTTCGCCGCGACATTCCCGCTCTTTTCCTGCACATGCACGACACTGTGGACTAGGGCTAGGGTAATAGTCTGCTCGGTTTCGGCGCCGTGGCGGGCTGCGGCATTCCACCGGTCTTCTGGTTTTACAGCGAAGGACTGCGCACGAATCTCCAGTTTCAGGCCAAGCGCTGGAGGTTAACGTGGTGTTGCATAACGAGATTAATACCCGCTATATGCGGCGCTATCGTGACAGTCTGCTGTCAAGGGCAGGGTGGGGTTGTTAGTTGTTAAGGCTGAGGATAGCTCTGTAGATGAAAACAAGATCGGGGGCGAGAATCAGGACGATAACAGTGTAGCCTTTACCGTGGAAGTATGGGGCATTTTATTGAGGGAAAAGCTGTCCTTGGGGTGTAGTGCTGGTTGTAACGAAACCTCTAATAGTCTAGCTGCGTAAACCACTAAAGAGTCTGTAAGGGTTTGTGCTAGTAAGTAAGTCCTGCTGCGGAGTCCTTTAGCAATAATATCGGGGTCTGACGTATGGAGTATAGTGCTTTGGGGTAACTGAAGTATTCGAGTAGGGTAACTGGGAATAGAGTCGTCAAGGCAGTTTGCCTCACCAATGGGTTAGATTGATGCTTAGATTGATCACTGAAGTAGACTGTCTATCTATGAAATGCCTGGGAGTCCTGTCCCTTATATATCCATTCCCTCCTTCACTGATAAATGGGGCCATTAGATCCTTCATGGATACACTTGGATTTGATGTTCCCGTTGAAGGAGCAAAAGGAGGGCACATATGCCTAACCTGTATGTATTGTAGCTAACTCTGGTCCTCTCTTCGAGGGTCTATGTATGGAAACAAAAGGGTTCTTATATAGTCAATGAATGGTAGACTTGCTGATTAATTCAGACAAGTTGTAGAAGCATATAGATAAGTAGGGAATGTTCTATCCTCGCCACATTTCTCGTAATAGAGGTATGTGGGGATGGTCGCCGTTCTAGGTGGCGATAGTGGCAAGTATAGGACCCACATGGCCCACAGGGCCCATATTGTCCAACTCACCCCCTCAACAAGGCGGTAGAACTGGTTTGTTGGAAACCGAAGTAAGTACATGTCCTAACTGTTTGGTAGTATAGGATTTGAATAGTGATATGTTCAATCTAACTGGGAATTGTCGTCTGAAACCTCCTGTGCTTGGATAAGCTCTTGTATATTTTTGAGATTGCATATCTGCACGAATAGGTCGTGTTTTTGCGGAGGTAGTGCTTTTGTAAGACCGTCGGCTGCCATGATAGCCGTTGGGGTCCAGGATACGTTAAGCCTTTTGGTCGTATATGCCTCGCGAAGCCAGTGGTTGTGTATATCGACGTGTTTAAGCTTTGTGGATAGGCGTGCTAGTTCTTCTGTAACTAGGCGAATGGTCTGAGTATTGTCGCATTCTATTACTAACTTCTCGTGAAGGTCGAGACCTATAGCTGCAAATAGTCGCTCCATAGCAAGGGCTTCTTTGGCGGTTTGTGATAAGGCTAATAACTCGGATTCTGTGGTATTGGTTGTAACTGTATCCTGTTTGCTTGCCCGCCAAGCAATGGGTCCTCCAAAGAGCTTCATTATAAAGGCTTGAGAGCTTTTGCGATCGTGGGGATCGTCTGCAAATGCTGCATCGCTGGATACTATGAAGCTTCGAGGGACGTTAGTTGTGTCGTCTCCTCCTAGCTCGAGGGCGTAGTATCTGGTAGATAGCAAATATGTAAGGCAGTCGTCGATAGCCTGGTGGTGCTCTGGAGAAGGGTTGCTATTGAACTGAGCGAGCTTTGAAGCAGCGAATGCGCAGTCCGTTCGAGTGGTTATAGCCGCATATAGTACGCTGCCTACCTTAGCTTGGTAGTCTCGTCGAGAGATAGGACTAGCCTGTCTAGTGTATCTAGAGAGGTCTCTATAAGGCGACAAAGGTACTTTGGGGATACGTTTCCGATCAAGGGAAACATCGTACTGGGTACATATTTTCTCGATATACGAGGTTTGAGAAAGCCAGATCTTTCGTTCGGTCCGATCCCTTATGATCTGAATGCCTAGGAACCAGCGAAGTTCTCCTAGGTCCTTTAGTCGGAAGCGGTTCATTAGCTGTTGAATGAAGTGGTTGGTTTGAGCTTCGTCCTGCTTGCGATATAGTAGGCAGATGTCGTCTACGTAGAAGAAGGCTAGAATCTTGCCGTTCGTAAGGATGCAGGGCTCTTCGGGGACCTGTTTAAGGCCTAACTCGGTCATGCCTGATGCTAGGTCGCGTTGCCATAGGAGAGGTGAACGACGGAGACCGTATAGGGCTCTTTTGAGCCGTAGACAGTAGCCTCGTTGCTTGAAACCGTCTGGGAAGTAGACGTAGACGACTTCATCGATTTTACTATGAGTAAAGGCGTTTACGGCATCCAATTGCCGCGTCTCGAGGTCAAATTTTGCAGCAATAGCCATTAGCATCCGGAAGGATCGTCCAGCTAGGGTCGATGCGTATGCGTTTAGGTCTGATCGTGGCTGGAGATCTCCTCTAACAACAAGGCGTGCTTTGTATCGATCGAGGTATCCGTGTTTATCGAATTTGTAGGTAAATACCCACATTAGGGGGATTATGAAATGGCTGGTAGCTTCTGATAGCGGTACCTTATCCCACGAGTCTTGGCTAATGGCGTTATATTCCGCTAAAGCAGCCTCTTTCCAGTTCGTCCAGAGAGCGTGTAACTGTGCTTCGGCCCAGTTCTTCGGAGGTGGAGGAAGGTTTCTCCGATGTTGCCTTTTGTGCTGGATTGCAGTAGTAAAGGCTGCGTTCAGTGGTGTATACTGGGGGCTAGAAGTGTGATATTTGCGGAGAGCTTTGGGGATAGCCTGAAAGACGTCCGCTGTATTGGCTTGATGGCGGTTTCGACGGCTTCTTGTAGTTGTATTCGGCAAAAGATTCGCATTTAGCTCTAATCGTATCTCGTTAAGCATACGGGAGCCTCGTCCAGTGGCTCGTGGCTGCTGGGCTAGCGGTATTATTGGAGAATCTGGCGATGGGTCTGGTGATGGGTCTGGTGTTGGCAGTTGTTCTGGTAGCAATCCTTTGTCGGCTATAAGCTCTGGAGGTACTGCCACGGTAATAGAGTCTTCGATTCGCTCTGATGGTTCTCGGTGGTCCACCCCCTCAGCGTTAGAGATGTCGTTAACTGCTTCGTCAACGCTGGACTCAGTTGTTCCATTGTATCCGAGCACGATTTGCAGGGCTGTATCATCATTACTAGCCTCAACTTCGATATGCTGGATCTCATCGTCGATTTCCCTAATCCGGAGAGGTGTGTAATGTTCCGATGGATCGTATACTCCTTGTTCATCGAAGGTTACATCTCGTATGGATATAACTTTGTTTCTGGTCGGGATCCAGACCTTATAGACAGTCTGGTTCTTGTACCCAACATGGTATCCGATATATGTCCGAGGCTCCATCTTCTTTAACTTATTCCTTCCGGCTCGATAGTCTTCGGTAAGGGGATAAGCCTTGCATCCCCATGCAACGAGGTGAGAGACTAGAGGGCGGTGGTCTTGAATCGGGAGATTATCTCGTTTGGCAAGCCATTCTGAGAGAACTTCGATAGGAGTTTTCCACTTTAGTCGTTTAAGTGGTGTCCGATTTGTTAGATATGTAGCTGTTTCAACAGCTTCTGGCCACAGGCTTGGCGGTAGCCGTGAGCTAACTATCATGGCACGCGCTTTGGTATTGATTATCCTCCCAGCTCGTTCGGCGACGCCTACCGGCTCCTTGGTATATGGTGGTGCTTGGTTATGCTGTATGCCGGTACGCAAGATCCATTCCTGAAAATGTTTGCCGAACGCTTTCTCGCCATCTGACGTAATTGTTTTCACGTCAATGTCATACCGTCTCTTAATGTAGGATACAAGGCTTGTAAGGGCAGGAAAGGCGTGCTTTTTCCGTCGAAGGGTATATGTAATCCGTACTCCGGTAACTAGGTCAGTGCCGATTAGAGCCCTAGTTCGTCCGTCGTAGGCTGTCTCGTATTCGAAGAGATCAATATCCATATGTTCCAGGGGTTTGAATCCTCGGTTTTTGGGATGTCGTGTAATGCGGCGTGTCCCTTTTGCGAGAGAGCAGTCTTCGCACTGGATCGTAGTTGGCGCCTTAATCTTTATGCCTGTAACTGCGTACACAAGCTTCTCTAGGCTTCTGGGGCCAAGATGGGCCATCCGTCTATGCCAGAGTGTAGCGTCACCGTCAAGGGGTTTTTGAGGTCGACGTGAATCGTTCCCATGGAGCTCCTGCTTCTGCTCAAACGGATTTGTGGGCCTTAGGTCGATACCCGGCATCCCTGGAGTATCTACTGTAGGTATAGATGCAGGCTCTAGTGGTATTGACACCCTCTCATCTTCGGAGAATTCAGATACCTGTTCGGAGTCGGATTCTGAAGGTTCAGTGGAAATTTCCACATCTGCTTCGTCGGTAGCAAAGGCGCTGCTATAGGTCGCGCGTTGGGAGGCTATAAATGGTTCCAGATCATCGTTGGCAGCGTTGTCGTTTGTTAAGGGAATGTATTCGAGAATCGGCTGGTTATACTTTTCTGTAAGGTAACAGAGGGTTTTCCGATGTCCTGCCCGAATGTAATACAAAGCTTCATGTTCCATATCGTAATAGATGCCGGCTTTCTTGAACAACCTAGCAGAGGCGAGGTTTGTATGCATGGCGGGGACGTAGGCGACGTTCTCGAGGGTAAATACCATAGACTTTCCTCCTGGTCGTCGTATTTGGATTTCGACGTCACCCCATAAGAGGATATCTAGAAGAATACCTCCACTGATGATTTTGTCTGTAGGGGACGCGCTTCTGATTTTCTTGAATCGGGAATGCTGGTTGCATATATGGATGCTGCTTCCAGTGTCGTAAAGGGTTGATCGTTTCAATGGATAGTCTACCTGGAGGCCTGTAGTAAAAGCAGAGACCTCGTGGATCGTATTGACAGTATTTAACTGCTTGGTGGGTGCGCTGGCGTTGTTGCCAGCGCCGTACCCTCAGGCCTTGCCTGGTATGGTATCGTTGCTCTCGTTATTGCTACTGCTGTTGGCTCTTTTGGCCGCTCGTAGCTGGATTTTCTCGATCAACTTTCTAACCTTCTCATCCTTCAGTTTTTCCTCTATCTCTCGCTGCTTGCCCGGGTTCGGGGACCATCCAGTGGGGCGAAGGCTCTCGATAAGGTAATAACAGGCGCTATACCGGTGGTGACTACCACATAGGCATGTACGTGACTTGTCGTTTGTAGAGGCTGCTGGTGGCTCTTTTCCGTCTAGGGTAGGAGTAGCTGCGTGAGCGCCTCTTGAGATGGTATGGTATGTGTTTCCGAAGGTTTTATTCCAACGGAGGTGGTTTGCAAAGGCATTGTAGATAGACTCGACTTCCATTTGCTTCGCTGGTGGGTTCTGGAGCTCCTTGTCGATGTCGTG